GAAGATGGCAAAAACGGAAAAAAATGCTATGGTTTATCATTTTTTCTCTCTTTTGCTGGAAACCAATCAGCCGCACGTTTTCTTCCACATCCTCCCCATTTCTGTGAAATTCAGCAACTTTTGGTTCTCAAACCGAAAAAGAGAGAAAACATGCTGCAAGCAGGGGAACACGAGTCTTGAAACGCAATATAGAAGTTTCTTAGCTATTTCCAAGCCCTTACCAGCAAGCCGGCAGACAAACATTCTACTTCCTACAGGCCTTGAATTTCAGCACCTTTTCATGTTCCAACGAGTAAATAAGCGAAAACATGCCGTAAGTGGAAAAAAAGGTGTCTGGAAACTCAATATAAAATGTCTTAGCTATATCCAGGCCCTTACCAGCTAGAACACAAAGATTCCACTTCCCTCAGTCTTTGAAATTCAGCACCTTCAAATGGGAAGACGCGAAGATAAAATTGCGTTTTGAAACTTATATAATATAGAGGTTTCGGAGCTATTTCCAAGCCCCCACCAGTAAGCAGAATCACCATTCTGCTTTCTACAGCCCTTGCATTTCGGCACCTTTTCAATTTTAAATTGGAAAATACGAGAATAAGTAGGGTAAAACGCAATTTGAAAATGTATTGAGAGGTTTCTTAGCTATTTGATGCTATTTGCCCCAGAAAAATCAGCAGAATCACCATTCTACTTCCTACAGTCCTTGAATTTCAGCACCTTTTCAGTTTCAAATTGGTAGAAAGAAGGAAACATGCCGTAAGAGGAAAAAAAGGTGTCTGGGAACTCAATATAGAGGTTTCTTAGCTATATCCAGGCCCTTGCCAGCAAGAAGACAAACATTCCACCTCCCTCAGTGACTGAAATTCAGCACCTTCAAATGGGAAAACGCAGAGGAAAAATCTGTTTTGAAACTTAATATAGAAGTGTTTGAGCTATTTCCAGGCCGCAGCCAGTAAGCAGAATCACCATTCTGCTTACTACAGCCCTTGAAATTCGGCACCTTTGCATTTTCAAATGGGACAATACGAGAAGAAGTATATAATGGTTCTTAGCTTTTTTGCAGGCCTCAAGAAATCAGCAAAATCACCATTCTACTTTCTGCGGTCCTTGAATTTCAGCACCTTTTCATGTTCAAACGAGTAAATAAGCGAAAACATGCCGTAAGTGGAAAAAAAAGGTGTCTGGAAACTCAATATAAAGGTTTCTTAGCTATATCCAGGCCCTTGCCAGCAAGAAGACAAACATTCCACCTCCCTCAGTGATTGAAATTCAGCACCTTCAAATGGGAAAACGCAGAGGACAAATATGTTTTGAAACTTAATATAGAAGTTTTTGAGCTATTTCCAGGCCCCAGCCAGTAAGCAGAATCACCATTCTGCTTACTACAGCCCTTGAAATTCGGCACCTTTGCATTTTCAAATGGGACAATATGAGGATACGAGGAGAAGTAGGCGATAAAACGCGCTTTGAAAATTAATTTAGATGGTTCTTAGCTATTTGCAAGAAATCAGTAGAATCACCATTCTACTTCCTACATTCCTTGAATTTCAGCGCCCCTGTGGTTTCCAAATGGGAAAATAAGAGAAAACCTGCCGTACGTAGAAAAAAAGGTGTCTAGAAACTCAATATAGAGGTTTCTTAGCTATATCCAGGCCCTTGCCAGCAAGAAGACAAACCCTCAGTGATTGAAATTCAGTACCTTCAAATGGGAAAACGCAGAGGAAAAATATGTTTTGAAGCTTAATATAGAAGTTTTTGAGCTATTTCCAGGCCCCAGCCAGTAAGCAGAATCACCATTCTGCTTACTACAGCCCTTGAAATTCGGCAGCTTTGCATTTTCGAATGGGACAATATGAGGATACGAGGAGAAGTAGGCGATAAAACGCGTTTTGAACATTAATTTGGATGGGTCGTAGCTTTTTGCAGGCCCCAAGAAATCAGCAGAATCACCATTCTACTTCCTACAGTCCTTGAATTTCAGCGCCTTGTGGTTTCCAAATGGGAAAACAAGAGAAAACCTGCCGTACGTAGAAAAAAAGGTGTCTGGAAACTCAATATAGAAGTTTCTTAGCTATTTCCAGGCCCCCACCAGTAAGCAGAATCACAATTCTGCTTCCTACAGCTTTTGAAATTTGGCTCCTTTTCGTTTTCAAATTGGAAAATAAGAGAGAACATGTTGCAAGTAGGGGAAAACGCGCTTTGAGACTATAAACATTTTGTAGCATATATATATATATATTTACACACACTGTACATGTATGTATATATATATATATACATTGTATATGTATGTATATATATATATGTATTTACGTATGTAAATATATATGCATATATAAATGTATATGTGTGTGTGTGTGCGCCTTGGCCTTTCAATTTTTCTTACTCAAAACTAGACACTGCTGGGTGTGTTTTTAATTGTGATCTTGGGCAGTTGAGGCCATCAGGAACGCGAATGCAGTAAGCAGAATTAAGTAGATGGAAAATTATCCACCGGTTATCACGATATGATTTTCTGCTTACTGGGGGGGTCAATTGGCTCAAGTTCAGCACTCCGACCCATAAGCCTCTGAATCAAAACCCCGAATATCGACCAAATTTAGCCAATTTCCATATGCAGTAAGCAGGAAAGTCTCTGCCTACTGGATGTCCTTTACTATAGTTTATCAAACTCACCGAACGGTACCCACCACGACCGGTGGTGGGGGGGTACCCTTCGGTGAGCTTGACAAATTCATTTTTTAAATACAATATAAAAAGAAATTGATCATTTCGGGGGCCCTGGTTTCTTTTGTTAGAACGTTCTAGTTTAGGAACTTCAGACATCCAGGGTTGCTACTCCCCAAACGCAATTACGTATATAATATATACCCTTATACATGGAAGAGACGCATTTCCCTTTAGAACTACAACATAGAATATAGGTCCCCAGTGAAGAATATTCAGCCATTTTTTCCGGAACACCACCTAATTCCATTGGTTTTCATTGCAAAATTGATTTTTTCATAGTTCTCCGACGCCGGTCATGGGGGTACCGTTCGGTGAGTTTGAAAAACTATTTTTTTAAATACAATATAAAAAGAAATTGATCATTTCGGGGGCCCTGGTTTTTTTTGTTAGAACGTTCTAGTTTAGGAACTTCAGACATCCAGGGTTGCTACTCCCCAAAGGGAATTACGTATATGATATATAGCCTTATACATGAAAGAGACCCAATTCCTTGCAGAACTACATACATAGAATATAGGTCCCCAGTGAAAAATATTCATCCATTTTTTTGGAGGAACACCACCTAATTCCATTGGTTTTCATTACAAACTTGTTTTTTTTTCATACTTCTCCGACACCGGTCGTGGGGGGTAGGTACCCTTCGGTGAGCTTGAAAAACTCATTTTTTAAATACAATATAAAAAGAAATTGACCAAAGTGTAGTCAAAAACTTGTCGCTCGTCGCTTGGCTACCCGAGAGGTGCGTGGGCGTGAAGGAAGCAGTAACCAAAACTTAACCCAAAACCCCAAAAGATGTGCAATCTGCTGCGTTTCACACATGTTTTCGATATGGGAATATCGTTATTCCTATGGTATTTGCTTTAGCGCTGTTTATGCACTCCAAAATTCTACCCCAAATATTTCTACCCCAAATATTCTAAGTATTTTTTTTCTGTCCACACCCGCAGGGTTGAAATCGGGCATATTCTATGTATGCTATCATGGTTATATATATATATATATAGATGGACAAAATAGTTTTCAAACAGTTTCCTGAGGAACAGTGGAATGGAACCTATGAACATGTGAAACATCATTAAACAATCCTTACGATTTGCTGTTAAAATTTTTTCGAAAAGAAAGGCAATTTGTTACAGTATTTCCAGGCCGGTGTTTTTCACGCATTGCGCTTTCAACCACAAGTTGGATCAAATTTGGTTACAGTATTTTTCCCAAAATTGTGTGTTCATTGTATTGCAAATTCAGCGCTCCTTTGCGTCGTACTTGGGTTGGATTTGTTGGGGTTCATAGTTAAAAGAACATGACAGGTTTGTGCGCCATGTGAAGAGGGAAATAATGTCAGCCATTTACACACAAAAAGGGTACCGGTACAGGTCAAATCTTGGGGTTTTGCCAAATTCGAAATATTTTTTTCCGTCCGCAATACAGGTACTATTTTGTTTAGTGTTCCTTCAGAGCACCATGCGCACTTCACTCCTGGTTATCCAAGATGGTTTGCAAGGGACAAATTCCATTGGTTTTTTCGGCTCAATCTTTGTCAGGTCTTATTATTGTTTAGGGCTGTGCAGGTGAAGCAACTTGCATTTTTGGCCAGTTTCCTTTCCGACCTTTTTAGAAGGTTAGCGACTCTCAGCTGCAGGGTTTTGATTGTGACTTGATTGTGCAGCGACTCCAGGTGGGCAACATGGGAAGGGTGGAAACAGCCAATGATTTCATTCCGGCCAAACACATGTTGGTTCCCCCGCGAATCAAGCATTATATTTTTTCCATTGCTATGCTTGATGATCGGAGGCTATTTCCATTCGGATTTTTCTGTTAGGACTCTATGATTATTCAGCGCTGCTTAGGATGGCATCTACTTCTCGAAGCACCATTATTGCTGCCACAGGCCATGGAGATGGATCGGGATCGAATTTCTATCACAGCGTGCACTAGCCAGTGCCATTTGAACCATGAGTTCCTTTCGTAGATCAACTGTTTTGTTTGTGCTGACACACATGAGGAACTTCTCAATGCTTAACTTTTGGTTTGGCCGTTTTTTGTTCGAAAACCGCAGTCAGCCAGTGATACTTCTCTTCAGAAGCGCCGGCTTCTGATATCAGTAAGCTTTGGATCACTTTGGGGTTGGATATGTTGGATTTATTGCAGGATTTATTGCAGTCGTGAGATGTAACGAGTGGGTTGACCACCTTTGTTACCCACTGTAATGATAATGCGTACTTAATTTTGTTGGCTTCTTTCATAATTTACGCCTGATGATTGAACTTCCACAGGTGCAGCTGCAGTCCTCTACGGTACTTCTTTCATTGCTCCAACCTCCGGTCCCTCCGGTCATCTTCGAGACAGGGCTTCCCAGTGTCGATCCATAGGGATGCCGGGGACCGAACCAACCAAACTGGCAAAATGGCTGTGCCCCCATCAAGGCATCCACTGATTTGGGTGTGGGTTGGAATTTCAGGTTTCACCCCAGATGGAAAACTTATTACAGTAGTTGCACATCACCCCTTTGTAAAGGATTAAATTAGCGCAAATCGACACTAACTTGGCTGTTGGTCAAAATCGTTAATGACACTCCCAAAAATTGGATGGTCTAGCGTCACAAATTGCCAGTCAATTGTGGATAGCCTTGATCCATGTCAACTTGGGCAGTTTCAAAAGCCTCAGCTGTTTGATGATTATATGATGGGGACTTACAGTACATTACTCAAATTTATATTACCAAAGATTTCCAAATACCAGTAGTACCGCACAAGGCGGTGGCGGAAGCTTCAAAGATATGAAACCTATCGGAAAGTTTGGTTGTTGTGAACCATGGATGGCAGAGCGAACCCACTGATGGATCGAAAGGTGGTTGGAGTGTCGGAGTATCTATCTGTCTATTTGTGTTTCTATCTATCTATGTATCTATCTATCTACCTACCTACCTACATACCTACCTACCTATCTATCTATCTATCTATCTATTTATTTTCTATCTATCTATCTATCTACCTACCTACCTATCTATCTATCTATCTATCTGTCGATCTATGTATCTGCCTCTCTATCTCTCTATCTATTTATCTGCCGAAGCTATTCTGCGAGACTTTCTTGAAATTTGGAAGTTGACAGCTGAAAAACGAAGCTGTCTGCGAGACTTCCTTCGCATTTGGAAGCTGACAACATCAAAAACGCAGCAGTTTTGCGAGACTTCCTCAATTTGCGAAATTGGCAACGTCAAAAACGAAGCAATTCTGCGAGACTTCCCTCAAAAATGGAAAGTCGAGTACGGCCTCGTGCCAATGCGTTTTGTGACTGCTCCACTCCATCTGTCTAAAAGTACTGCGCCTGCCGCGAAAAAGTGAGGCCAGGTCATACAAAGTGCTGCATCTGTCATGCAAAATCATGTAAGGAAACCTGATGATCTGATACTCCAAAATGCAACCTCTCTAAGGAAATCAGCGCCCTGACCTCCGAACATCTTTGATGAAGATGTTCCGGACCTGGTGTGTTTTGTACATTTTGACTTCGAAATGCGCTTCGCGCCACACCAGTGTGCACTTTTCAACATTTCAACTTCCAAAAGTGGTCCGAGACCGAGGTGTGTTGAGCATTTTGACTTCAAAATCTGCTTCGCGCCACAGCGGCGTGCAGTTTTTGATTTCTCATCTGACCAGATGGCTCCGCACCCACCGCTTTAGCGAGCCTACTTTTCAACTGTCCGGAGCGCCAAAACGTTGGAAAAACACTGTGTTTCGCGACTTTTAGACCTTTTCGCGCATCTGGGTCTTCTTTCTTTTGACTCTTTCTCTTCTCTGATCTTCTTTCTCCTTCCTTTCTCTTCTCTGACTTTTCCCAGCTCTGCTTGTCCATCTGTCCATATTGTCGAAAGTTTGACTTCTAAACTTCCTCCGGATAGCCCCACTCTATCCGGTTAGATATCGATTTCCCCCTAGTTAAACCATTTCTTCCAATGTTTGTTGGAGGCCCCATTTACCAACCAGTGACATCTTCCGTTGCATGGTTGAACTCAGGCATCTACTGCCTCCACCTCCTCGGGAAACCCTAGCCGAGTGGAGGTTGGAAAATGCAGTCGGATCAGTCGTGGTGGAGGTGATACATAAACTATATATGTCTATATCTATTACTATCTAAATATGTTGGTATATTTCTCAAAATAATGTGTCTATATTTTTGTTCATTTCCTTCCGCTGTTGTAATTCTCGGGATGCAGTAGTAGAGATGAATTTCAGAAAACATTGATGGAAAAATTGGAGCCTTTGGTCGATGTTCCTTTTGCCGAGAAGGGCAGTTGTTGCCTGCATTTGTGCCTTCGTGATTGTAACGACCTTTTGCTGCTGTTCTTTGAACCCTTCTGCTTCTTCTTCTTCTTCTTGCGGTTGTCGCTGATGTTGGTGTTGACGTTGACGTTGATGTTGGTGCTGATGTTGATCTTGTTGATGGTGATGATGATGATGACGATGACGATTATGCTTGGTTGCCTGTTGCTGGTTTTTGGTTGTTGCGTTGTGGGTGTTGGTCATTGTTTTTGTCTTGTGGTTATGCGTAGTTGTTGCACTTGGTCAGTGGTATTGTTTCCTCATATAAAATTTCCAGCAACCCCAAAAAGAAATAAAGGCAAAAATCAGGTAAAGAAACGATACATTACATGTCTATCGATCTGGATGTTACTGCAATTATATAGTCGATTCGGTAATTCATTGATTACTTGAGTGCTGACTTCGTGGGAAACGTGACGAAATTCCAGGCAGCGCATAGTCAAACAGCATCCCTGGCGATTGCTGGAACAGCAGTGGCCGCCTTGACTGCCGGTGGGCGGAAGGTGGGGGCAAATATCACGGCGATGTGTGAGATGTGCTGCATACCATGGTATACCTCCATTTCTGGTCGATGTGGGGGAAATGATGAACTCGTGGATTTACATAAGGGGACACGGTTTTTTGGACCCAGATCTGCGTGAAGCAGAATCAGCAGTCATTTGTCCCTTGCACTCAATGTTGGGCATGTATGCACTTCAGAAAAGGGGTCCAGAAACAGATTTGGGTGCAACCAACTGCAATCGAAGATATTGACAGATTGTTTTATTTGTTTGCCTGCCCCTGTAATCACTCAGATTGCCATGTTTTTGGACGAAGACGTTGCACCTCAATTGGGTATGTGAGCATTCCAAACCAGCAACCCCTGGTTGGTCATTCTGGTCATTGCCACTTGGCAGGCTCTTGGAAACGTCAAACCAACGCGGGTGCGCCAGTTCTGCTGTGAAAGGGAAGCCTGCGTCTTTCTGGGGCATGTTGTGAAAGATCATGCTTTCGGCTGCGCTGGTCCCTGCGGTGTTCTTGGTAAATTGATAATACTGCTAGAATCGAATCGCATACTTCATTTACACTTCAAGAGTCTGCAACAAAATGTGTCTTGCAGGGCAGCTGGCTGCAGGGGCTGGCTGTGAGCTATTCATTGGTTTCCCCAACAGCACACTGATATTTACCTTGCTCAAACTAGAGTGTCTTCTTCATTGACATCATCTCTTGCATGAATCTTCAGATGATTCTGCTGGAGGTTCCTTTCAGTACTCGAAAAGAATGATTGTATGTTGTGGGCAACTGGCAATGTACTAGGGGAATGAACATCCAGTACTTAATAGGAGTAGTTAAATAAAATATACCAGCCATGAGAGGAATAACCGTGATGAGTTAACAAGTAATATAAGCACATGATGCCTACCATTGGTTGATATCTGCCCCTTAGGGAAAGCATGTCCGTGGCTACGTCAGACACCTTGTGTCAACGGCGAAGATGCATAGAACGATAACAATCTGTGATTTGATTTGCGCACAAAGGATGACTGGACATCCCATACAATATACTTTCAATGTTAGCAAAGGAATATCTCATACCATACATGTACATTTGTCTGCACATACCAACTGTATACAAGTATTTTGTGTTTGCCAATGTCATACCTTGATATTTTCAGCACCGCCCAGCTCGATCTTACAGGTCAACTTGACCGCCTTCGAGAACGAGTTGGGCGTTCAGGCGCCCGTCGGCTTTTGGGACCCTGTAGGATTTACCTCTGACGGCGATGTGGCTACGTTCAAGCGCCGCCGATCCGTGGAATTGAAGCATGGACGCATCTCGATGATGGCCACCATGGGCTTCTTGATTGCAGTTCATAAAACTTCATCAGGGGTGATTGTACGTTTTATAGATGTGATGGTGACTGTTGGTGTGAGGTTGATATCGTTTCGATACGGTGAAAAATGGTTCAATCTTACAGTCTTTTGATTCAGATGCTGCAGCTATTGCCAAGGATATATCACTCCAGAGATCACCGGCAAACTGTTCTGGGCTTAGCTTTGCGGATATGGAAACGAACTCTGAAAACTCTGATACATTTACAAACGTGTCACGGATTTGCCAAATCGCTTTTGTGTGCCTTTCAAAAAACAGTCGTCGAGTCATATTGAGTCATCCTTTCTTTCGTTGAAGACTTCTTGAACCAACATCACAGATGTCATGCACATAGATCGCGTGCAACAACATGAGTTTTTGTGGTTGAGGACATCACATTGATTCGATGTCCTACACTGGTTTTGATTGATGATCAAGTGTGTAAGGCCTGGATTCCTTTCTCCATCTGCTGGCCTCAAGTTCGCTGACATCCCTAATGGGCTTGCGGCAATCTCGAAGGTGCCAGTGGCAGGATGGGCTCAGATCGCTGCGTACTTTGGCTTTGTCGAGTTCAGCGGTGGCTTCGATGACTACAAGAGCGGCACTCCTGGTGACTATGGGTTCAAGGTCTTGACTTCTTCTGATCCCGAGGAGAAGACCAAGAAGCTGTCGGCCGAGCTGGCCAACGGCAGACTGGCCATGATGGCGATCATTGGCATGTTCTTTCAGGAGCTTGTCATAGTGAAGTTGTCAAATCAACTTATTTCACTCATAGCACAATAGCACCTAGTCGAACATGTTGCATCAAATTGCAGGATGATGTTGCAACAGGTTGCAACAACTTGGCAAACTATTAAGTATTCTGATGACACTTGAAAGGATGGCTTGACTGGAAGCGCCTGGGGTGACTGGGCCAACTACACTGCTTCTCCCTTGCGTGCCTTCGAAAAGGAGCTGGGTGCACAGGTAGGGTTCACCAGTTGAGATATGAATCAAAACTGCGGGGAGCTGACTTGACATGACAACTTGACACAGTATATGACTCCTATGACTCCTATGACTCGTGATAGGCACCTTTGGGCTTCTGGGACCCATTGGGCCTGTCCTCTGATGGCGACCTGTACTCTTTCAAGCGCCGCCGATCCGTTGAGCTCAAGCACGGTCGCATCTGCATGTTGGAACATTGGCTGAACCAAAGGATCTGGATTTGCGTACACTGTGCACATTTGAGATCATTTGAGTGCAAATTCGCAAGTGGACTGTAGTTGCTGTTTATGGACTGGAAGGCTTCGAACATGTGCCGAATGTTTGTTTTTGCTGCTCCTGAGGCAACCATGGGCTACATCACCCCAGAGGCTCTTGCTGGGCGAATTTCTTGCCACCCCGAACCAAGCTGAATTGAACATGTCTGGTGGTGCCTGTCTGAGTGTTTAAGATGCGAATCAAGCGCTGGTCTTTGACAGGTTGCTGGCAAGTTCCCTGGCTACTTGTCCCCTTCCAACAAGTTGCTCTTCTCTGACATTCCGAACGGTCTTGCTGCCATTTCCAAGGCACGTTTTGCTGCGTTACAGAACCTTACAAGTGAGAGCAAGTGGTCGAACTTTTGAAATCAAAACGTCGTGACAAATATTCGTGGAAATCATTTTCTAGTGACATTGACAGTGCCTTTGTCCAGGTTCCATTGGCCGGCTGGATTCAGATCTTTGGCTACTGCGCTTACTGTGAGATTTCAGCAGGATATGATGCAGATGTAAACAAGCGCACTCCTGGCGACATGGGATGGAACCCACCTATCTTCTCCGGAAATGACCCTGAGACCAAGACCCGGCGATTGAATGCCGAGTTGGCGAATGGACGCCTGGCTATGATGGCCATCATCGGCATGTTTTTCCAGGCATGGTGGCTCAGTTACGTTGCAAGTGAATATCAATAGATTTCGATATATGATTTGTTTTCCTAAAAATTGCCTAATGTGATTTTTTTTGACTGATTGTTCAGAAGCAGTCATGGAAAAAGTTTGGATGAGAAATTTCAGAGCCAGAGACTCGTGGCAGCTGTCAATCAATTGCTTGCCAACTCAACTTAACCTTTTTTCTCCAACTACATCAAACAATACACAATTTCTCTATCTTAGAAGAATAAAATCTGCGTCCTTCAGACAAAAGTGGGACGAAGTGTATGAATGGAATGTCAAAGGAACATTTGGCAGATCTTCCAGGGAGATGTATTTATCTTCTTTCACAAAAAACATGTTTTGTTCTGATCTAAAGGGCGCGAAATGCAGTGCAGGCCAAAATTCATTACCCATCCATTTTTCATGCCCTTGTTGAACGATTCATTCATTCATTCATTCACTCATTCATTCATTCATTCAATCATTCATTTATTCATCCATCCATTCATTCATTCACTCATTCATTCACTCATTCATTCATTCATTCATTCATTCACTCATTCATTCATTCATTCATTCGTTCATTCGTTCGTTCGTTCGTTCGTTCATTCGTTCATTCATTCGTTTATTCGTTCATTCATTCGTTCATTCATTCGTTCATTCATTCGTTCATTCATTCATTCGTTCATTCATTTAATTCTTTCATTCTTTCATTTTTCATTCATTTCATGAATTTCATGAATTTCATTCATTTCATTCATTCTTTCTATTCATTTAATTCATTTCATTCATTTTTCATTCGTTCATTCATTCGCTCGGTCGTTTGTTCGTTCCTTCTTTCTTTCATTCATTCATTCATTTATTCATTCTGATGAAACGTAGATTCCCTTGACCGTTCAGTCATCCTTTTCACTGCCAGGTATCAACCATTGGACGGCTTCCAGCCGCACAGGCTCAAGGGGCGCTTACCAGCAAAAAGCGCTGCGTTCAGTTGCAGGTCCATTTGGGACTGTGAGGGTTTTTCCGTTGGTTCCCGCTGCCACGAACAGTGGCAGCGGAGCCGGTTTCGACACTTGCTGCAGCCATGAGCGGAGAAGATGGCACGATGGCAACGTCATCGTCTACGGCTAGTGGTAGTGGGCCAAAGGACCGTGACCCACCTCCAGTTTTTGATGGTGATCCTCAGATGTTTAAGCAGTTTGAAAGAGATGTGTCGCTTTGGCAATGGGAAAGCGACATTCCAAAAAACAAGCATGCCGTGAAGATTCTTAGATGTTTGACAGGGTCAGCACGCGCAGCGGCAGATGAGGTTCCGCTGGAAAAGATCAAGAGCGAAGCCGGAGTGGAAGCCATTTTGGACAAGCTCCGGGAGCACTACCAGCCTCACTTTGGAGTCCACGATGCCCCGAGCCTTTGAGAAGGCCATCTACGGAGAAAGCCGACGTAGCAAGGAGAGCTTGCAGGACTATATCATCCGCATGGACAAAAGCTTCAAGGAGCTGAAGGACGAAGGCGTGGATCTTCCTCCAGTAGTCAAAGGGTATGTGATGTTCAGACAGGCCACTCTTCAGGCCACTCAGGAAGATCAGGTCACAACGTGGACTTCAGGGAACTTTGACAGGTCAGAGGTGGTGAAGGCGCTGAGAAAGCTAGAGAAGGTGCAGAAAGAGCGCAATGGGCAGAAGCACTACATCCTTGAGGATGACGAGGCCTTGAAGTCCGACGAGGGCGCTTCTTGGGAGCTCTATGAGGGCGACGAAGAGATCGAGAACTTCGTCTACGTGGGCGAGGGCGATTTGGATCAGGTGTTCGAGGAGGAAGATCTCCACGAAGCCTTAGCGACTTATCAACAAGTTCGCAAGGCCTTGCGCGACCAGCGCACCTCGCGCGGATGGAATCCACCGTCGAAGGGCAGTGGAAAGATCGGCTTTGGAAGTGGTGGCAAAGGAGGACTCCGCTTCAATGGAAAGGGGTCACGAGTTCACATAGAGTCTTTGAAGATGCGCACGCGCTGCGCAAAGTGCGGCGCCGTGGGACACTGGGCGAGGGAGTGTACCAACCCTCCTGATGAGTACGCCCGCAATCGCGCCAGCTCCAGTGGTCCGGCAAAAGGGAGCGCGAGTTCTATGGCTGGTAGGTCTGGTTTCGTTCACATTGGGAATTTCATGGGCAACAACTACGTTATGTTCAAGGGGGTCACTGATACTTGGCAAACTCCCACTTTGGGCATGTTTTTGAAGAAACCCAGTTTTGGTGCAGAAGTTGGGGGCTCTCCGTTTTGTGGCATTTTGACAGAAGCCGAGAGAGGGGTCGTAGACACTGCAGCACAGTCAGGGTTGATAGGTCAGCAGGCGTTGGAAAGATTTGAGAAAACACTGGCAAATTTTGGTCTCAGGGTTCGAAAAACCTCCAAAAGGGGTCAAGCACGTGGGGTTGGCGGTCAAGCAGTTTCAGTTGGTGTGGTCGAGCTTCCCATCGGCATTGCAGGGGTCAACGGCATTTTAGAAGCAACAGTCATAGAAGATGATGTCCCACTTCTTTTACCAGTCAGCCTTTTGCGTGATTTGCATGCACAAGTTGATCTTTTTGAAAACCAACTCAGACTCTCCAAGTTTGGAACGACGGCAAGCATGAGTGTGATGCCATCTGGACATGTCACAGTCAGTGTGGTAGATTTTGATCAAACAGGTTGGAAGGTTCCTCCAGAGGCAAAGAAGTTTGGACTCACTGATGAGCATTTTCAACTGGCATGTGAAGGCTCACCAGCAGACCCCGCAGTGAAGCCTAACGCCCGAGATCTCCCACACCAGCAGGTGTCTTACCATGTGGAGTCGCCTGGAGCAGATCAACCAAGACATGCAGGCCAGCACAGCCAGGCCCATCGACGAGCTTGTCACGTTCAGAGCTCGGGTGTTTGGAAGATGGAAGAAGCTTTTGGAGCCACTGATGCGCATGGTCAGAAGCTCCATCGCGCACACCACCGCGCCCGTTCCAAGACACGAGGAGGAGGTCTTGCCAGACGGTGGCTTGTGCTGTGGCTATGTGCCACCCTCAGCCATGGCGGAGACTCCGCCACTTTGGCTGAGTTCTCGTGTGCATACAAACAAGCAAGAGGAGTATGCGGAGATGATCAAACATGGAGTGCCTCAAGCACCCCGCAAGGCGGCATCACCGCCGACGGTGTCAGCAGCGGCATGTGTTCACCCGACCGAGCAGCTGTCGGGATCTGGCAACCAGCATCAACGAGAAGTGTGGTGCAAGTTATGCCATGCCAGATGGAAGATCGAGACAGTGATGAACTCGGTGATGCCAAAACGAGCTCCGAAGAAACCCGATGCGGCGATGGCCGCAGCAACGCCGAAGAGCCCTTTCCCTCAAAGTATAAGGACGTCTCTGTCGAGTGCGACGCCTCTGAAGAGCTCTATGTCTCCAAGTCCTTCCACTCCCCCATCCAGTGCAACGGCAGCTTCGACGCAGGGCTCTATGGCAGTTGTATGCCACTGCACGAAGCCAGCAAGAAGGTTCACAGTGAAGAAACCAGGGCCCACGCAAGGAAGGCACTTCTTCCGATGCAGCGCACATCTGTGCGAGTTTTTCCAATGGGATGCTCTGGAAGTGGCCATGTTGAAGGAAGTGGCGACATGCGAACCGGAAGTGAGCCCGGAAGTGGACCGCCTGAAGGAGGAGATGGCAGAAGCGGCCAGGAGGGCCGAAGCGAAGGAGGCATTGATGATCGAGAAGGAAGCCATGATGCGAGAGGAGCTCAGGATGAAGGAAGCAGCACTCAACGAAGCACAAGCAAGCATGGGCCAGCATGCCCAGAACCTGGTGGAGACCACCATGACACACGCCAACGCCAAGCACGAGGAGATCCTGGCAGCACACCTACAACAGCACAAAATGCAGATAGAGAGTCTGCAGAACCAGCTGGTCTGGATGACGGCCATAGCTGGCGAGGACAGAGTGACACAGGTGATGAACAACCCACAACAACATGCGGAGTCTCTCGAGAAGGCCAAAGAACTCCGACAAGCAATGCTGCAGCAAGCCCAGGGACCGGAGGACGATTGGTGAGGTGGCGGAACTACACGGAAGAGGAGATGGAACACAATCTGCAACACGCCCCCTGGGCCTATGAGCTTCAGGTAGGAAGACCTGATGCCAACACCCTGAGGAGATTACAACTGGAGGAGCAGTATGAGCCTGTCGGCAACAGGCGAGTGCATGGGGTGTGGTGGGCACAAAAGCAGAACAGCACAGAATGGCAGTATCACACTGGGATTTTCCCAACGGAGAATTCACTCAACTCGCAAGGAGGAAGAGTGATTGCATGCATTTCCCCCGAAGCGGGGTTTGAGGATGAAGAGGCGGATCAAGTGTACGGCACACTATGCCGAAGCTCAAGGAGAAGGCTAAGGAAAGCCATGGATCAGGTGGTGGTCAGTGAGCTATACTCTGAGCCCAGAGTAGCAGCCGAGGCAGCCAGACAAGGGCTGACTCAAGGCACCAGCATCGATCTGAAAACGGGCTTCGATTTGAGGAGCATGAAGGATAGGCAAAGGGCATGGCGCGCCCTGAGGAAGGAGGACCCAGATCTGATCATGATCTGTCCACCATGCGGCCCATTCAGTCAGATGCAGTCCATCAATTACAGCAGGATGGACATAGGACGGGCAATTGCCCTTTTGGGTGAAGGAGTGGAGCACCTTACCTTCGCCATGGAGGTGTATGAATGGCAGGTGAGGCGAGGCAAAATTGCTCTCTTCGAACACCCAGATGGATCCCGAGCGTGGGATGAACACTGCGTACAGAGGGTACTGCAGTTGCCAGGGGTAATAAGGGTGCGTGGCGATCAATGCCAATTTGGCTTACAAACATCACCAGCAGAAGCACTGAACCTGAAGCCAACCGGTTTCATGGTCAACTCAGCACACATAGCAAAACAACTTGCAAGGAGATGCACTAAAGACCACGAGCACCAACCCCTGGAAGGAGGAGGACGAACGAGGAAGGCAGAGGTATATCCTCCCAAGCTGTGCAGGGCAATTATCCAAGGATTAAGACAGGAGGTGGCTCAAGAAGCGGCAAGGAGCTACGTGATGGAAATTGCCTTGGAGGAGACGGAGGCTTTCGCCAATGAAGGCGATGAGGAAGGAGATGAGGAGGAAGACATCGAGGACCAGTTGGACCAAGAAGTTGAGGCGTCTGGCCGGCTCCCAGGCAGGATGGTTCCAAGTCCCGATGCAGGAGACTCCGATGAAGAGGAGGAGGAAGAAGCACCCGAAAGACGGCAAAGGGTGCCACGGGGAGTTTCAGACTCCGACAAGCGCAAGATCAAGAAGCTCCATGAGAATCTTGGGCATCCTTCACGGGAAGATTTCATCAGGGCCCTTAAGATGGCAAGGGCAAGAGAGGAGGTGTGGCGATATGTGAAGGAGGAATTCACTTGCGATCTGTGCGAAAGGCACCAAAAGCCCAAGCTCAACCGTCCAGCCACCATTCCAAGGAGTTATGCCCCAGGACGTACTGTGGGAGTTGACGTGGTGTACTTCCCAGGAGTCCGACCAAATGAGACTATCCCAGTGCTCAACATGACAGACTGGGGCTCATGCTACCAAGTTCTAGAGCCACTAGACAGCACAAGAGCAGAGCATGTGTGGGGCAAATTCATGAAGTCATGGGGAAGAACCTTTGGAATCCCCGAGATGGTAGTGGTGGACCAAGGGCGAGAGTTCCTGGGAGACTTCAGTCGCAGGATCAACCAAGCAGGAGCCGTCCTCAAGACCATAGGAGCAAGAGCGCCACACCAGCAAGGAAGAACAGAAAGGCATGGAGGGCTGGCTAAGGCGATGTTCCTGAGGGTCAGGGAACAGGTGACGCCTGATTCCCGAGAGGAGTGGGAAGCAGTGGTGCACTCCGTAGAGGCGGCCAAGAACAGGCTGTACAACAGAAGCGGCTTTTCACCAGCACAGCGCCAGCTAGGCCAAAACATACGCATCCCAGGGTCTTTGGGAAGCGACGACCCTTTTGACAGCACTCTCATCAGGAATGGAGCGGGAAGTGAGGTCATGAAGCTCATCCAGATGAGAGAAGCCGCCATGGAAGCATTCATACGGCAGACCACCACAGACGCCATCAAGCGAGCTGAAAAGGCGAAGACGAGGATTCGGCGGGACTTCCGCCCAGGGGAGGTGGTATTCGTCTATCGCAAGCCGCTCCAAAGAAGAAGCATCAGAGCTCCGAGTGACACCAAGAGGGCACAATGGGTTGGCCCTGGGACGGTGGTGGTATGTGAGGGTCCCAATGTTTGGGTGTCAATGCGAGGCGAAATATGGAAGTGTGCCAAGGAGCAGGTCAGGCCAGCCAGCATGGAGGAGGAAGAAGCCTATGGAATGCTCAAGGAGGAATTTGAGGAGTTGCAAGAGGAGATAAAGAGGAAGAGTAGCAAAAGAGGCTTCAAGGATATCTCCAGGTTGCCTGGACCTCCCGATGATATAGGAGAAGACGATGAGGAAGATGATGATGATGGACCTCCGGCACACAGGCCTCGAAGAGGGGAAGACCCTGAAGGTGAACCCCCAGGAAGAGACTCGGAGCCAAATGAAGAGGCAGGCGAAGCCCAAAGGGGGCAAAGTCGAGCCAATGGCGAGCAAGGCCAAAGCAGCAGCAGCACAAGCAACACAAGCCAAGAAGACAGCAGCAGCAGCAGCACCAGCCAAGAGGAGCCAGAAGGCGAGAGGATTGAGGAGAGGCACTTGGATAACGCAGTCAGGTCAGTTATCCGAAATGAACTTCTAGACGGCACCACCAGGAAGGAAGAAGCATCGGCATCCTATGGACCGAGAAGGGCACAGCTAGAAAGGATGCGATTCAAACCCTACAGTGGGTTTGTCGTGGTGCAGGAAGGAAGCATGGAGGATTATGAAGAAGAAGAAGCACCTCAAGAAGATTGCTGGATCTTCGACGAAGATCGACAGAGCCTGATCAGGATACATGCACAGTCTAGGAAAGGAAAGTTCGTGCCAAGGAGGGGCAAAGGATGTCCCATAGACCTGAAGCATCTGCAATCAAAGTGCAAGGTGTGGCAACAGTTTGAGGATGGAAGACAGAAAGTCTCAGAGAAAGACTGGAGAAAAGAAGACCATGAATGTACTGGCCCACGAAGATTCTGGACAGGCTTCACCGAATTTCAGTTGAAGCCAGGCGTGTCAGAGAGCAGGATCGACTGGTCTCTCATAGCAAGCAAGAGCTCTGATGAGGTCAAGGATGAGGAGATTCGTCCAGAAGAATGGCCGGAGTGGAGGAAGGCAGATGCAGCAGAATGGAACAAGGTAGCAAGCACACAAGCAGTGAGGACTCTGACAGTTGAAGAGTCCGAGAAGGTGATGAAGGAGCTGAAGCTACAAGGCAAACAAGATCGGGTGTTACCATCCCGAATTGTCAGAAGATGGAAGCCAGCCGAACAACCAGGCGAAGCCCCGAAGCGCAAATCCAGATGGTGCATCCGGGGCGATAAGGATCCAGATTTGATGTTTCTGGATCGATACGCCCCAACAGCAACAACTGCAGTCATCTCCATTGCACTTCAAGTAGGAGCCTCCCTAGGTTTTCGCTGTGCGCTTGGCGATCTTCAGAACGCCTTCATGCAATCAGATCTTCTTCACCGAGAAAGAGGAAAGCTCTACTGCCGCCAACCACCTGGCGGGTTGCCTGGACTAGATCCCAGGCAAATTGTGGAGATCCTTGCTGGGGCTGGGGCATACGGCCTTGGAGACGCTCCAGCCCATTGGAGGAGGTCTTTGAAAAGAAATTTGATGGAGCTGGGCTATGTGCAGTCAGCTATGGACCCGTGTCTTTTTAAGCTGGTGGTGAATGGAAAACTGGAAGGAATCATCATTGTAGAAGTTGATGATCTTTTGTCATTGGGAGGGAAGATCCACTACAACAGAATGCAAGAGCTTCAGGGAAGGCTCAAGTTTGGGAAGTTCAAATTTTTAGATGAGGAGCCAGACGGAGCCAGCTTCAATGGGCGCCGTCTGAGAGCAACTTCCGAAGGTGGATTTCTCATTGACATGGAAAAGTTTGCCAGCGAGCGTTTGGAGGAGGTGAAGCTGGACAAAGGTCGCGCTCAAGCCAAACAAGAACCAGCGTCAGAAGAAGAACGGGCCCAAGCCCGTGCGGTCTTGGGAGCACTGACGTGGGCGGCAAAGGAGGGACGCCCAGACTGCGCGGCACCAGCCAGTATACTGGCCAGCACGCTGAACAAGATGACCATCCAGGACATCATCGATTTGAACAAGACAGTTCGAGATGTGAAACTGTCGCACAAGCTATGCATTCCCATTCAGCCCATCAACATTCAAGAGCTGCAGTGGGGCGTCATCACCGATGCCAGCTACGCCAACACCGAAGATGGAGCCTCTCAAGGAGCTTATGGAGTCATATGCTATGACAACGAGCTCTGGGAAAAAGGGTGTGGAAGAGCCAACCTCATACATTGGAAGAGCAGTAAAATCCAGAGGATCGTCAACTCCACCCTTGCTGCAGAGGCGCAAAGTTTATCAAAAGGGTTGAGCGAGCTTGCATGGACGGTCACGGTTTTCAATGAGATGGTAGATCCAACTTTTGAGCTGAAGAATTGGGAGAATGAGATCAAGAAGCGAAGACTGCACGTTTTGACCAAGTCTAATGCCGAAGAGCGTTTGAAGAAAGGCCTATGCGTAGTCGACGCCAAGTCATTGTTCGACCATTTGGTGAAGGAGACCATTGGAACCACGACTGATCGACGCACTGCGATTGAGATGCAAGTGATCCGCCAAAGCCTCTTAGAGACCGGTACCCAAGTGAAGTGGGTTCCGCATCCAAGAATGACCATGGATTGCTTGACGAAACGTCATGGCAACAGAGTCCCACTCATTGAGTTTTTGGACAGTGGTCGTTTGAACTTTTCGACAGAACGGTCAACGTTAGATTGGTGGGAGTCTGATGAAACGTAGATTCCCTTGACCGTTCAGTCATCCTTTTCACTGCCAGGTATCAACCATTGGACGGCTTCCAGCCGCACAGGCTCAGGGGGCGCTTACCAGCAAAAAGCGCTGCGTTCAGTTGCAGGTCCATTTGGGACTGTGAGGGTTTTTCCGTTGGTTCCCGCTGCCACGAACACATTCATTCATGGGGGTGTTCATTCCCTATGTACCCATTCAGTCATTTGTCATGCATTTGTTTGGAAACACGTTTTTTCATCCAAACATTTTTTCCACCCACTCCTTCTGTGTGTTCTCGTTCATCCTCTTGTTCCTCATTCGTTCGCCCATTCATCCACCCATCCGCGGATGCATATGTGCACTCATTCGTTTGTTTTAACTAGTTTAAGCATCATGTCTGGCTTTGTTTGTTCATCGCGCTTCACATGAAGGACCGCCAATATAGCGGAAATGCTCAGAATAAGCCTTGAAGTGTGAAATTTCAAAAAAAAAGGGAAAATGCCCAGAACAGGCTGCCATCTTGGGGTGGGCATGGGCAGCAGCGCTGGCCATGGGAAGGCAGAGTTTTAAATTGAGCCTGTGGCAAAGAAACTCCCTAAAAACAAGGCCAAGACGTCTCCAATGACATGGGACAATTTGTCATATCCTTGTAACATTTGTAACGGGAAGTTCCAACAGCAAGTTCAAAGCGTAGCATCAAGGGCCTGCTGGAAGTTCCAAGAGCAAGTTCAGAGCGTAGCATCAAGAGTGTGTTGGAAGTTCCAAGAGCAAGTTCAGAGCGTAGCATCAAGAGCGCGTTGGAAGTTCCAAGAGCAAGTTCAGAGCGTAGCATCAAGAGCGCGTTGGAAGTTCCAAGGGCAAGTTCAGAGCGTTGCATCAAGATTTTGTTGCAGGACGCATACAGATGATCGCAGGCGGATGGACGTTATCTTGTTTATATTTAGCTGTATTTTTGTATTTTTTTTGGGGCCGTGGACGAGAAATCCAACAAAAAGGAAGAGGTGCAAACGAGAATGACAAATATCTTTCACGTCTTTCTTCCTTGAACCTTGCCGCAACATAACAAGAGGGGCTTCGCAATACACAACCTTGAAGTAGAATGTAAAAGACCGACGCAAACTCAAGACTGCAACTTAGTCGCGACAAAGATATGCGACACAGTGCTCAACACCAACTTTGAGAAAAATATCTCAAGAGCCGTGGCCACGCTTTTTCCCCCGCTAGCAGACGAGTTTTGCAAATATCTTTTTTGCGTTTTGATTGAAGCAATTGGGTTAAAAACTGACACAGATCTGTTGATGGCTGAACCAATCACCATCCAATAAATCCGACACAGACCTTGGCTGAAACAGCCACAGTTGGAATACCAAGCCAACTTCAGCTTTGGCAAAGTCATCTTTGGCCCCTCTTTCTTAATATGCAACATGGGCGGCCCACGAGATCCCCACTTGCTGCATTTCAACTTGCGGTGCTTCTGAAACAGCTTTACGAGCCCCAAAGTTCCAACTATCCGTATTTGGACTAAGCGCAGATCTCTTTCAGCTTGCTTGATTTAAAGGGTCCTTAGCACTACAGAGTGCACAGCTGGCTGATTCTGAGTCAGCGCTCTTGGGCTGAAACAGCTGCAGAAGGAAACACATTGAAATTGAAATGCGTGAGCTTTTTTAGATCTTCATTGCACCTGTTATGAATCAATTGCTGTTTGCTGAACTGAGTCTACAGGGTGTCTGCAGCTGCCGCAACGCATGTTTATCCACTTTTCCACTTGTCATTTTTTTGCATCTCACATCCGACTTTGAAGACAGCACCCCGCCGCAGTCTATGTGGCTAAGATCCGGCCCTTTCCAGCTGATCTGACATTGGTCGATGCCGCGGTGGCATACTTGTGGCCAAAGCAGCCACCAAAAGCCGAAGCAGCTAAGTGGCCGAAGCAGCTACAGCTACAGTAGCCGAGACAGCTGCGGCCTCTTTGGCGTAGAGATGGTGTGGCCAGTTTTCAGCTTCCGTGAAGTGCTTGAGCCGAGGCTCCTGAGCGGATCTCAGGCATGCTCCTAAGGAGAGGACAATTCGTCCTCTCCTTAGGGGGTTCAAGGACAACGGCGAAGCTCGTCAGGAGAGGACATTCCCACCCGTTGATTCGAGGTCCGTTGAAAATTTTGGGATGCTCCTAAGGAGAGGACAAAAAGCACATATTAAGTAGCCAAGCCTGTCTCCAAATCAAAGCTTTCGTTGAATCTCCCAATATTTGTGGGTAATCGTCTCTTAGATTCAACCCGTTGGTAGGTTCCATGTAGCGACCAGAAACCCAAAGTCTTTACCCTGACGCTTCAACCCACCCCAGCCAATTCCTTTTTTTGCGAAAAGTCCATCACGACCTGCTATGTACAAAAGCTGACTCAGTATGTAACGCAGCTTCAAAGTAAGAAGCCGGAACAGCCTCAAAACAAGCCAAAGCAGCTTTGACAGCCGGAAGCAGCGTGCCTGATGCTGCAAGGGCTTGGCTGAAACAGCTCAAAATTTGAAAGCACTTCGCAAGCAGGAGCCGAGTCTGAAGGGCCGAAGCAGCCCTCCTCGCTGCGTGGACATGCTGAGCCGAAGCAGCCGAACAGTCACCGCCCTCCTGAAGCCAATGTCTGACTGCTCCAGAGCCCGCCTTTGTACTTTGATGCCTTTGGAATGTTTTTTTCTGCATGTGAATGGGGTTTGTGATTTCATTGTTTGCTCAGACGCTTGTCAATCCGCTTTGGCTGGAACCGTGCAGGCAACACCCCATGGCGTGCGCAACCATGTTCCCAGCTCTGGGTGATGACATGAAATACAGAACTGTGAGCCCCATTTCAAGCCCAAGACAAGCGACTTGGATCGACCATTGCAAAAGCAGCAATGCTGCCGTCGTGTTTGACAGCTACTGACCCAAATTGCAAACGAGAAATAAGAATAAAGCAGCAATAATTTCAAATACCTCTTCAGCTGCCTCGACGAGAAAAATTGAAAGAGCCAATGGAAAGTGAAAAAATGTACGAATAGGTATGAAATTTGCAAATGAAAGAACCAAGGAAACAAACAACATGTTCCGTACATGTCTTAGATGTCACAAGTTAGGGTTGCAAAGGGTATTCCAAATCAGTCACTGTTGAAGCAAACGAGATTCTCAAATAGCTTAGCCAAACAAAAAATACAAAAAATATCTCAGGCCCAAAAGAAATACAAAATACAAAAATACAGCTAAATATAAGCAAGTTATTGGCCCACCTCACCCAACATAATTATAATATGTGGGACGGTAAAAAATGAGTCAGCAAGAACCTATTCTGTGAGGGATTATCACAAAAACACATGTTTTGTCCAGGTTGTTATCAGCATCCCCTGCATAAAAACAATACGCTCAACTGAAGATACCGTTCAAAGTTTGTGTCCAAACTTAAGCGACCCTTTTGCAACCGTGGCATGGCAGGAAGGCATGACTCAGCCGCAATGAAAATTTCACTGCGATTGCCACTATAAGGATCCACCGCAACAACATGGAAGTGCATATGCTTGCAAGCATCACGCACCCAGAGGCGCAAGTTATGGTAGCCTGGGGGAGGAAGAATAGGTATGAATCAAGCGAGCAAAACCTTCGACATCAACGATGCATTTTAGTTTATGACGTTTCTTTTCCTTTGTTGTTGAAGACATAAAGAATCCCCAGACCTGTGCATATGCACATCGACGCGCAAAGATAATCAAAGATATAGTCATCTACAGATATTTTTGATGCCTCGCATTGACGGCGTTTTTTTTCTGGCATTGCGATTTTCTAGCACATCGTGATTTGCGGTGTGTGACCAACCCAAGCGCCGAACATGTGTACAACACAGACAACGTGATTGCATGTTTCACAACAAAAGCGGGTTTGAGTATCACGAAGACGTTGTACAATGTAAGAGAGGGGTCCAACTAGCCAGAGCATCCGGGCCGCGTGAAAAACTTAAGCCAATTTTTTGAGCCTTACCTAGCATTCCCCAAGTGAAAGATCCATCCGAGACTGATGTCAATCAATCCTAGATCACACACACACACCTTGCCGTTGGAGTGCGGGCTGACTTTTGCACCGCACTCTCTCACTCACTCACTCACTCACTCACTCACTCACTCATTCATTCATTCATTCATTCATTCGTTTGTTCGTTCTTTCCTTCCTTCGTTCCTTTGTTCGTTCATTCTTTTCCTTCCTTCCTTCCTTCCTTCCTTCCTTCCTTCCATTCAAACATACAGTCGTTCATTGATTCATGCAGTTCAACTCAACTCAACTCAAATCACTTCACTTCATTTCATTGCATGTCATTTTATTTTTTCATTTCATTTTCATTTCATTTTCATTTCATTGTCATTATCATTTTCACTTTCATTTTCATTTCATTTTTTCATTTCATTTCAAGTCATTCCACTTCATTTCAACTCATTGTAGCTTTCTTCAATTCATTTCAATACATTTCAGCCTATTTCAATTCATTTCAATTTGTTTCAATTCATTTCAGTGTTTTCACATCAGTTCATGTCAGTTATATAGTTCGTTTCAGTTGTTTCAATTCATTTCAAGTCGTTTCAGCTCACTTCAATTCGTTTCAGTCCGTTTTGCATCATTTCAGTTCATTTCGATTGATTTCAGTTCAATTCATACCAGCTCATGTCAACTCATGTCAGTTTGCTTCCATTAGTTTCAATTCGTTGCAACTTTTTCAGTTCATTTCAAATCATTTCAGTTTGTTTCAACTGAATTTCAATAACTTTCAAGTAATCTGAGTTCATGTCAATTCATTTAAATTTATTTCAAGGCATTCAGTTTATTTCAGTCCATTTCAATGCATTTTAGTTTTTGTCAACTGATTTCAATCTATTTCAAATCCCTTGAATTCATGTCAACTCGGTTGAGTTCAGTTCAGTTTATTTCACTTGGTTTTAGTTTTTTCCAATCACGTCAGTTCATTTCAAACTATTTCAGTTCATGTCCAGTGATGTCAGTTCATTTCGGGTCATTTCAATTCTTTTCAATTCGTTTTAACCCATTTCAGTTTATTTCAGCGCAACTCAGTTCATTTCACTTCGTTTTGGTTCCTTTCAATTCGTTTCAATTCGTTTCAGCTCATTTCAGTTCAATTCAATTCATTTCAACGGATTTTATTTAATTCTTTTCGCTTCATTTCATTTCAGGTTATTTCAGGTTTGCAGTTCGTTTCAATTTGTTTCAGTTCATTTCAAGTCCTTTCAATTCTTGTCAGTTCGTTTCCATTTAACTAGGTTTATTTTACTTCTTTTCAGTTCATTTCGGTGCATCCCAGATCATGCCAATTCATTCCAGTTCATTTCCACTTCTTTCAAGTGATTGCACTCATGTCATTCACTTCGCTTGATGCATTTTATTGGCTTCAT